GCACGATTATAAACTGGGAGAGGAGTGGCTGGAGAGCAGCCCTGCAGAAAGGGATCTGGGGGTGCTGGTCGGCAGCAGGCTCAGTATGGGTCAGCCGTGTGCCCTGGCAGCCAGGAGGGCAAACCGCACCCTGGGGTGCATCGAACACAGCATAGCCAGCCGGTCTAAAGAGGGGATTATCCCGCTGTATTCAGTGTTGGTGTGGCCTCACCTGGAGTACTGTGTGCAGTTCTGGGCCCACAATTTCAGAAGGATGTGAAGGTCCTTGAATGAGTCCAGAGGAGGCAACAACGCTGGTGACAGAGCTGGAAGGAATGTCCTGTGAGGAGCGGCTAAGGACTTTGGGCTTGTCTAGTTTGGAGAAAAGGAGGCTGAGGGGCGACCTCGTTGCTCTCTACAGCTTCCTGAGGAGGGGAAGTGGAGAGGGAGGTGCTGATCTCTTCTCCCTGGTATCCAGTGACAGGATGCGTGGGAATGGTTCAAAGCTGTGCCAGGGGAGGTTTAGACTGAACACCAGGAAGCATTTCTTTACCGAGAGGGTGGTCAAACACGGGAACAGGCTTCCTAGAGAGGTGGTCGATGCCCCAAGCCTGTTAGTGTTTAAAAGGCATTTGGACAATGCCCTTAATAATATACTTTAACTTTTGGTCAGCCCTGAATTAGTCAGGCGGCTGGACTAGATGGTCGTTGTAGGTCCCTTCCAATTGAAATAGTCTCTTCTATTCTACTTCTTTTGCTCTAGTTTAAATATAATGTTGGCTATTTAGGTAGCTATTTTTTAATCTTAGTTAGTTTTGAACTTTTAAACTACTTAAAACGCTACTATGCTTCTTTAAACCCTCCTAATTGTAGAACTGCGTGAGTGTGCTAGATGTTGGTGCTTGTACAAAGTAACTGGGACTACTGTCTGTAAAACAAGGTTTAGATCAGTGATATTTTAATACTTGGATTGAAAGACTATCAAAATGTAAAATTTGCTAACAGTTTGCCAAAACCTATCACATTTATATGTCTAGAATTTGTTTGGAATATTGAAGAGGATTTCAAGCCTGTTCCAGATACCTGGATTCCCGCAAAGGACATAGAGTTCTCTAATGGCAATCCTTTGCCCGATGAAAATGGACATATGCCAGGTACCTATGATACAGCACAGGTAAAATGGTGGTGGTGGTGGTGGTGGTGATCCATTTTTGAAGTGAATTTCTGTTTGTAGTTACCTGTGTTTGTTTTTTTTAATGCATGTACAGTTCTAGTATGCATATGATAACTTCAGATATTTACTTTGGTAAAATGCAATGTTTTCTTATAGGTTGGGTGCCTGTGGAGAAAAATAGTAAGCAGTATTGCTGGCACTCATCTGTTGTAAATTATGAGGCTGAAATAGCGCTGGTATTGAAACGCCATGCTGACCCAGGGCTTCTGGAAATCAGTCCAGTGCCGTTATCAGAAATTTTGGAACAAACATTGGAGCTCATTGGGACTAATATTAATGCAAATCCATATGGTAAGTTTGTATGGCCTGCTCTTAAATACTTTTTTATTTAGTGATATTTTTGAGTGAAAGCTCTCTATTTTCTTTGTGTAACTTTAAAAAAAAAGTTCTAAGGTAGCAATGTAACCTTTCTAGAAAGGAGAGAAAGGGTTAGCTCAAAGAACACTCACCCAAAAATAGTCACCTCAGAAAGCTGAGTTGTCACTATAGACTATTTATGTCTATTAAACCTCTTTCCACCTGCATGTTCTTTAGGACTTATTATAAAAATGCTTTGCTTTAGTCGTTCAAAAAATATTCTGACTGGAAAAGTTGTTTTAAATATTACTATTAAAATACTAAAACATTTTTTGAGATTGTTGGTGATTTTTCTTGACTTTTTTTTTACTTGCTTTTCTGATGGTGTTTGGTCCATTAAAGTAGAGATTTTATTCAGGCACTTTTTTTTTTTAGTCCCTAGAGTTAGTTGTAAGTTGCAATTTTTAAATTATAAACTATGCAATTTTTTTAAGGAAATGTAATTTAAGCTACATTTTGGTTGTGGCTTCTCCCTTGAAAAGCCTTTTAACAAAAAGCAATTGGGTATGAGCACAAGTGAGTTCTAACTTCTGAGCTTTGCTGTTACGATAACTTGCAAGGATGGATAGGAAAAATAGTAGTAACCTGGTCTAAGAATTTTCTCAGAATGTAAAGGAACTGCAACAAAAAATTCTAATAGCTGTATTCTTAGACGAAGATTTATGTTGAACAGTCAGTGAAGAGGCAATGCATTTGTTAACAGCCTGGCTTAAGTATTAATCCATATTCATAAAAAATATGCCAGATTTTCAGGAACTAAGATGTTTGTGCTATTGATCATGATCTGAAGCATGAAGAATTTAGCTAGTAGCTTTATGGTTACTGAGGAGATGACCACAAGGACAAAGCAGACAACTGTGTAAATCTCTATGTCATGTTTATTTTATATAAATAAAAAGTTACCTGATGAGGAGACAGCTACATCTGATACTTAAAAGTATATTTAACTGTTCTCTTAAAGGTAGGACAATATTGTAGTATCTAATAGAAGTCTACCTTTATAGAGTGCTTTTAAGATAGCCGTAACAACAAAAGTGAGGAAAATCTTAAGTTATCACACGTAACTAGCAGGAAGACTTTTGTTTCTTTTAACATAGGATTAGGAAGCAAGAAGCAGCCTGTACATCTTCTTGTACCACATGGAGCATTTGAAATAAAGAATCCACCTACTTTGAAACAAAATGACATACTGTCTTGGTTTGAAGGCTGCAGTGAGGGTAAAGTTGAAGGAATTGTGTGGCACTGCCATGATGGGTGTTTAATCAAGGTAAATATATCGATGAACATGTGGAAAGCACTACAATAATTCATAATGTGTGAAGTATTGTGAGGTATTCACTTTTTGTCTTGTTTTCCAAATTCTTTAGTAGTAAATGTTCTCCTAGCAAATCAGGTGACAGTAGAATTAGTCAAGCCAGTGAATCACTACAATGACAACATATTAAACTTTTTCATTCAGTTATTAGCATAATGTAGATAAAGTAATTGAGAACATAAAATAATATTTTCTTGCCTCTCCGTATAGGAATCACTCAACATTTTAAAGCTTAATTCTTTTATTTAAAAAATTCATTTCTTGTAATGTTGACTTTTAGAACAAGTATTGTTAATAAGAATGTGATTTTTCTATTAATTAGCAAGTTTGTATTATTTCTGAAGCTGTGGAGGACACCTTGGTTCTGGTTTGCCTTTTGTGCATAGTTGTTACTCATGTTATTCAGATAACTGATTAATAGCCCTAATGCAGAGGATCCTACAATTAAAGCACACACACCCACACCCCCCAGGTTGGGAACTGTTGGGCTGCTATATCAAAATCTCTAAACTTATCTCATTTCTTTTTATTTTAGCTCCATCGCCATCATCTTGGTTTACGCTGGCCACTTGCAGAGACATACCTGAATTCTCAGCCTGTTGTAATTGCTTTTAATAGAACTAAATATGACTGTGACTTTGAACCAAAGAGTTTGTTTCACCATTTTTCAAACTTGGATGGTCAAAGATTTGACAGACTCAAAGATATCAAGTTTGATGCTTGAAATTAGTTTTCTTTTTTAAGTTAATTGTCGTATGTGCTGCATTCCTCTTACTTGTGTCTACCACAGAACTCTTTCCAAATAATCTTTTAGCTTAGGCAGCAGCCTAGGTACTGTACGATTTTAAGTTTTTCCTAAATGACTAAGTTTATATAATGAGAGATCTGACATTCAGAGCAGACATCTAGCTTTCAGCATGCTTATTTTCAGTTCTGAAAAATCCTTAGCTTTTGAACCCATTTCTGTAAACTGTTATAATTAAGTGTAAGTAGTATGATGTCTAACACTGGCTGGTCCTAATAGCTTAGCTAATGAATGCAATCGACTGTAAAAGTTCCATAGGTTGCACTTCTATAAATATAGTTATTACGACACTATTATATGTAGGATTCAGATTTAGAATCTAGTTGTTTCTTAACAGTAAAGGACAATTTTCAGGTGGGACCAGAATTAGTCCTGAAACTTGGTATTTTTTTTTAAAGTTGTAACCATTTCTTTTGGGGGAAAACTTTTGAATGTATTATTTAACTGGTAAGCTGTGGCATTATGCTATTACTTTAAAACCTAATTAAGCTATATCCTACAGCTACTTCCACTATTTTGGGACAAAAAGAGTAAATAATAGGCGGTATACTAGTTCTGTTTTGGAGATCCTTAGTAATTAGAGAGAGACATGACTTGGCTTAATAATACCCATTTTCAGACTGCATCTCAATTAGGAAACTTCATCAAGGGCATATTAAGTAAGATGGCATATAAATAATAAAGGTGAGACTGTATGATCGTTTGAGTTGGCTTTATTTTATCTGTGCTATATAAAAGTATACATCCAGCTATACAAAATACACAACATGAAAAATCATTTATCTACAAAAATACCATTAGTTTGGCTGAAATACTTAACTTTATTTTCAATTCTTTGTTCTTGGATTTTCTAAAATTGAGGTAAAAATAACCAGGGATGTAAGAACAGACATCCAGCACACTGACCCTGAGTCCATAGTTAAGAAGTATGATAGCATGAGACAGCAAGAACAAATTACATATTCTTATCAATCTGGAACTTAGCATACTTAGCACACTTTAAGAGTTTCTCAACTTTTAGGATAAGTCCAAGGTTTCAACTTCACCTGACACCTTTGTATTACCCAAATTACTGTTCTGAATTAAAGTATAGTATTGCAAAGGAGTTGGGAGAGGTAAAACTCACTTTTATTTTGACTGGTGTATATAAATACTGACCATAAGCTGTTGACTAATCCAATTCTGCGCTCTTGGGTGTGTGCCAAACTATTGTAACTTTAATAGACTTTTATCATTCCAAGATAAAAACACACAAGTAAATCAGTATTATGTAAATGCCCCGGAATTTATTTTCAGTATCAACACTGAGGATACTAAACGCAGGCCTAATCAACAGAAACATTGCCTGGACTATCCACTTGAATGCCAAACTCTCCAGAAAGCTGCTTTAACCTCTCTTCCAAGATAATATTTTTTTTTACTTCTTCATTGTAGTTGTATTTCAGATCCTCAATTTCTTCAAAAAAGGAAGGGTCAAAGTTTTCTAGTTCTCTTCTCAGCTTTTTTGTTTCCTCCTATTAAAAAGAATGAAGAAGTACCACCTTTATCCAGAACTTAGGAAATCCAGGTCAACAGCAGCTTTTTTTGCCTTTTTCTTGAGAGGCTAAACGATGAGAGGACAAGCATGTTCTCTAGAGACAGAAAAATCTACCCATGAACAGCACATTCATTAACAACAAAACAGGCTTCATAAACATAATGTTTAGAAATTGATTTTGTCATTAAATATTAGTTTAGATATTAACAGCTCTTTCTAGCTAACCATAATTTTACTTATTATCTTGCCTAGGATGATCCTTGCAACTCACCTTTAATTGCTGTTTTTCCAACTCTGAGGCTTTCAACTGTGTCTGGAGGTCAGCTACTTTTGTCATTAACTTGTCATTTTTATCCTCCACCATTTCATTATGTCCTGCAAAAAAAATGATAACATGTTACAAAATTTAAGGTAAGGAAGATCAATGACATGAATAATCTTGTTACAGTAATTCTGCATCTCCTGAAAGCTGAAACAGTTAAAAGTGTGTAAACCCAATTGGGATCAACAGCCACTAAAAATTCAAGTCATCTGGGCTTTTCTTTAGTTCTTGTACAAATTAGGTGGTGGTGTCTAGTTCCTGTGATTGAATACAATACTCCAACAGCCAGTCTATTAGCATACTTCTGAGAAATACGACATGTATGGTTTCTCCGAATTAAATGCAGGAAACTTGGAAATAATGTAGTATAGGATCTTGTTAATTATATTCATAATTTCAAGGGGGTTAATTTTTATTTTTTTTCGCAGTCGTATGGCAATGTGCTGCTCTATAGTGCTCTGCTTTTCCCATGGGACTGACGCCTGCTAAGTCTTAAATCATTCCCAGAGCTGGTATCTGGAAACAGACATTCTCTGGCAGCTTGGAACCCAAGGTAGAAGGGGTAGACAAGAGGGTTTCAATGAATGACTGACATCTTACAAGCAGTCTTTTGAGTTTTATAAAGCAGATGGTGGCATGAACTACACATCTTCTTGGAAAGGGAAGTCTTACAAAGATTATAGCCTCTTGTTAAAGGTAATTAATTATGGATATTTTTACTAACACTTCTCTATAAAAAACTTGCATAAGTACTCAAAAATCCAAAAACTTAGTCTGCTCCAGTTTACACTACTCTGGCGTTAATATAATTCAAATAATTCTGTAGATTTATTATCATTTTGCACACACATATTATGTAAAAACAGTTTTAGGCCCAAAATACAGGAAAATCTTTATTTTAGGTATTGAAAATGATTACCGGCTGCAGGACCTTCACTTGTATATGTGTGTATGTGGTGCTTACAATCCTCCACCTGGTGAGCTAGTTCTGCTTTTTCTTTCTCTAATCGATTATTAGTTAATCTGGAATATAAAACAATTTTAGAATAATTTTTAAAAGTTACTAAAATATTTTAGAATATAAAAGATGTAACTGAAAATCACAATGGCCATCTCCTGATCATTTTTATTTCATACATATTGGCTGAGGTATTTATTTAGTTGTTTAAAAGTACATTACCTTAAAAGCTGAAGCTCCCTGATGAGGCTTTGCTCTGTCCTTGCACCTTCAGGAAGGTGTTTGAGAAGCTCAATCTTAAAAGAAAAATAAAGTAAGTTTTACCCTTGAAAACAGTATCCGTGGATAATGCAGTTCAGATGGAGTTCTCTTTGATACAGGATTAAAAAAAAATGAAAATAATACTAAGGATGTAACCAAGTACTAGGCTATCACAGAGAAAAAAAAACAAGTGTTCATCTACTAACAGTTTCCACAAAGCTAATTATCTACAGCCTTTTTAAAGTTAGTATAGCTCATTGCTACATATTTCATGAAGGGTGAAGAAAAAAGTATTCAAAAGTTAGGTTCACAAAGAAAGTTAAACACATAGCTACATTAGCATAATTTATACATAAGGTTAAGGAAGTGATATGCCTAAATCATTTAAGTGCTTTAAAAATACTACTGATGTTCTTATTTGCATACCTAGGCGTCCAAGTTCCTTTTTAAACATGATGTGAAAAGCCTGTGATTTTGCAATGAAAACCCAAATGAGCGTATGTTGACTAGAAATAACCTGCAGTTGTAAGTTAGAATAGGTCCCTGACCAGAGCAGGAGTTAGCCTCTAGAGGTGCCTTTCAGTAGAAGATGTGGGAGCAAAAAATTAATGTTTTAAATATGAGACTATATACAGTTTTTGAATGCAGTGACAATTTGTGAACTCTCATAAGGCTACTGTTAGTGATAGGCTTTTGTTCTACTACTACCTAAAATGGTACGGGTTTGGTTTTTTTCACAATCAATCTCTGTTTCTTTGAAACGTAGCTAACCTTGACCACGTCCTTTCATCAGTATTTGAGACATGGAAGAAACTGTAAAATGTGTTGCTCCAGAGTAGTATCACATAATGAAAGAATTTTATCTCTGTGTTAATTTTGCTGCTGGTATACGCATCATGTTAATAATGCTGACTTTAGAAAAGGGAAAACAAGCAAAAATTAACAAAATAATTGTTTTATAGGACTCAATTCCAAGTTCTATTTATTGAACACGTTTACTTGCTTACATAATATATATGACTTCTTATATTGAAAGTTGTGTATTTGGTACTTTACTCTGAGAATGGCCAGTACAAGATATCTGGGGAAGAAAACCATGCACGTGTTAATAGATAAGAAGATGGAAGCTAATCTGGGTGGACAGTCCTAGGGCTGCATCTCTGGAGTACTTAAAAGCCAAAATTTGATACATCTTTTCAAAGGTACCCAAGTTTAAAATTCATCAACTCTTCCATGTGTGAAATAGTATCTGTAAGACTTACTAGGGACTGCATGTAGGAGGCCATTTTGGAAATAGGCATGAAAATCCCTTTTAGGATGGCAAAGTCAATCCCCCAAAAAAGACCTGAAAGGAAGAGGGAAGTCCCCGCAGCAAACTCACTCTTGCGGAACATGCTAGAAAGATTTTAAGACCATTTGAAGGATCTGTACCTACAGGCTTTCATGTGGTCAATGAAGCTATAATACAAAACCCTACAGAAGAGTACAGTAGAAAAAAATTAATTTCCCCCTAAGACTGCAAGTCAAGAATATATATTGATAATATGTGGTAAACCTCATTAATTGGCTAAAATATGTAGATGTACAATTATGGTAACTAGGACTGAAAAAACCTCTAAAAGCATGGATTAGAGAAAAATGTACTCTGTCAATATAGACACTAGAAAGAAATTAATTAATATTAAGCAATCTGTTCTCAGAATCATCTGGCTAAATTTTACTCACTTGTTCTTTTAGATCTTGTAAGTTTTTATCAGCATTGTGTTCACGTTCTGTTGCTTCCTGAAGCAGCCGTTTAAGGTCAGTGATGCTTTGGGTTTTTTTAGCAATATCCATTTCCATTTCCTTCATCTTAGTTTCATGCATCCTGGTAGTATTTTTATTTAGAAAAAGATAAGAACAAAAGCTAATACTTTTGCGGAATCAGAGATTAAAATATCTTTAGGAGACTAAATGCCATAAAATACACCCTAAAATATGTTTGGGGCATTGGCCTTGAAATAATCACTGGTCTTATTTATAAGTGAGCTGAAAGAAGCATAATGAAAACTACCTTTTTAATCTTAGAAT